GTGTCGCGCAGGGCGAGGCTCGGGGCTGCGAGCCTGGCCGGGCCCGGAGCGGCTGTGCGGGTGGCCGAGGATAAACGGCTTCTGGGCTTCTGGCCGAGCGGGCACAGCCTCCGAGGCCCCGCGCGCTCCAGGCTCCCTGGTCTCCGCGCTGGGGGCTCCGTCTGCCCCATGGGGCTGCTTGGCTCTGAGGCTCCTGCAGCCAGGTTTTCTGTGTGTAGGGCTTGTCTGGCTGTTAATGCACTGAGAGAGGTAATGTCCTTGCCTCGAGCCCTGGAGTGCTAGGTCCCCAATGCAGAAAGAAAAACCGTGCCACTCAAGATTAAACCCAGTAAAACCCTATTTATAGGAGCAAGTTTTCCATTGAGTGTTTCTCTTGTAAAAATCCTGGTCTGTCAAAGATTTCTCTTAACTTGCTCCAGTGAGCCAGCAAAGTGAGAATTGTAGGTAACTCGCGGGCAAGGTGACAGGAAGGTCAGCTTTCTTAAGAGCTTGTGAGGACCAAAGTTTCAGCTGCTGGTCAACACCAGGGAGGCGGAGATGTGATGGCAAGTGTACTCAGGAGGTGGAGTCGAGGGTGGGGGGAGCCTGTCGAGGGAGGGGGTCCTGAGGACACCCCTCCACCGCCTGCCTCAGGACAGCAGGGACAGGGACGGGTCAGCAGTGGTTTGGGAATGGGGAGGAGCCAGGCGAAGAGGGGGGGCTCCTCCAGGGCTTTGGGGGGCTGACATCCTCAGTAGGACCAGGAGGGACAGGCTCTGGGGAGAGATGGTCAGAGGACTTTGGACCTGGGGTTTGGGGGCACTGGGGCACCGGGGGCAGCTGGCAGCAGTCGGTCACAGCTTGTTTTCCCATGGCACTGCCTGTCACGCGTCCTGCTATGGCAATGATCTCTCTTCAAGTCTCTCTCTTCTTTTTGTTTCTGAAAAGCTCTCCAGCCCCTTGGCCTCCTCCTTTTCCCTCTGGTGTCTGTTCACCTCCTTGTCCCTGTCTGGTCTCAGAGCTGTCTCCCCCACCACCAGCTTTCCTGTGGGGTTTTGTGATGTCAGGAGTGAAATCTGAGCATCGAGATGGGGTCTCCTATGCTGTGTCTCCCCAGGCACCTCTGCCGTGGAGGTATTGCCGACACTGGCCACTTTCTGCCAGTCACTGACTGAGCAGGTCCAGCCTCACCCTGGAGCTCTGGGAGCGCCCCGTCCTGATGCTCCCCTGGGAACTGACCGGTTTCTGGGGCAGACTGAGGGGTGTCCTTCTCTGCCACCTTTCCTCTTCTGGGGAACCCCAAAAGGGTGATCTGTACAGTGTGGACCGTGCCAGGGACGTGGCATGCCCCTGTTGTGTAGAGCGAATGTGTGCTTTCTGCACAAGCCTAGCCCTGGGCACTGACGTGGCGCCTGCATCTGGAAGTCCAGTGTCTGTTTTCACCCAGGAAGAGCCATGGCCAGAGGTCTCTGGAGCACTCGGACTGTTCCTGAGACGACCTGCTCTGGGGTGGGGTGGTCGCCTGCTCCAGGCAGCTCTGTCTCGTGGGCAGGGCAGAACGTTCGAAGAGCCCCACCATGCCAGCACCACACCCAAGGCTGCCGTAGTCCCAGGCTGGCTGGCCCCACCTGTGGCTCTGGGAGGGTTGGGAACGCTGAGAAAGTATGAAGAGGAGCTGCGAGAGAAAGCCTGTGGAGGTGACTGCGCTCGCCTCAGTGCCCTCTGGCCCTGGGCCGTTCTTCTGCATTTGGAGGCTCCAGCTGTGAGAGCACTGGGGTCTTGCCCATGAATGGGCAACACTGCAGGCAGGCTCAGATGCCCCATCTCGGAAAGTAGTCTGGGCCCCTCCTTATGCTCAGCAACCCCCAGCCTTGCCCCCGTCCCCTGGAAAGCAGGTCCCCAAGGCCCTCCAGGTGGCTCAGCCTGGGCCTCGTGGGACCCCACCTCTTTGCCCTTCCCTCCAGGGTCCCCCCACCCTCTGCTGCCCTGTCCTGTCCCCCTTGCCCCTTGGCTGCCGCTCCTCCATCCACCTGGGCGCTCTCCCTGCCCTGCCCCACACCCAGCACCTCCAAGTACCTGCCTGGTGCCCCGGGTCCCCAGCCTGCAGCCAGGGTTCTGAAAGCGTGGCTGCCCACCGGGTGTCCCTGCATGGACCTCACCTCAGATGAAGATGAGGAGCAGGTGTGGCTTCTGAGCCCCCAGACCCCGGGTCCCCGTCTGGGGATGCATTTGGGCCTCCTGGGGCCCCTGCCTGTTCTTGCATATTTAGGAGATTCCGCAGGGCATGAAGGGGCTGCTGAGGCCAGGGCATCTGCGCACAGCAACCGTGGAGCCTGCAGGGCCTGAGAGGTCGAGGACTGTCCGGGGGGGACGGTGTCTGCCCCTGAGCATGTGTGCAGGGGGTCCTCCGGAGCAGCCTGGGGACCTGGGTGGGACATGTGCTCCCCAGGTGGTGGGGGTCCCAAGAGTGCAGCCACCCACACCAGGGTCCCTTTGGGCCTTGGCCAGGCTGGACTCCTGTTCCCTTATCCTGTTCTCTCCTCCGGCCTCCCTTGGGGGCCAAAAGCTGGGCCAGCACTGGACTCAGTGGGTCCACATGGGCCACGTAGAGCTGGGGAGGCGGGGGCAGCATTGGGTGGGGATCCAGGCAGCTTCCGGAGACAGAACCTGGAGGTGGCAGAGTGGCCAGGGTAGGTACTCCTGGAGGAGGAGGGCAGCTGGAGTGTGGGAGGCCAGAGGGAGGCCCGAGGGTGACAGCCATCTGACGTGCTCTGGAGGTTGAGCTCTGGCACTGAGGCCGTGGGTGGGGGCACCACTGACTTTAGGCTGGAGCTGCTGGGAAGTGGTGATGTCACTTTCTGAGCTGGGGTGCCAGGGCGGCAGGCCAGAATTCGTCGTCCCCGCTCTCACTCTAAGAGGTCAACCCGAAGCTCAGACCCCACCCCCAAGGAGGGAGAGAGCCACCCACACCCTGGCGGAAGCCCCCGGGAAGAACCCAGTGCCTGATGGCCCCACCTAGACTCAAAGGAGGAGGCTCAGCGGGTGGCGGGGTGGCGAGGTGGCACGGTCCTGCCCAGCCCAGGTGTGGTGATCCTCTGAGACCCTCAGCCCCCTCCCTTGTGGGTTTGGCAGGTGGTCCTGCTCGGTGTTCGTTCACCACCTCGCTCTTTGCCCCGTCTGCCAGGTGCCTCTCGTAACCAACAGGGGCTTTCCGGTCAGGTGTAGGACAGGCAAGAGCCCTAGCCCTTATCTGCGCCGGCCCCACCCGAGTCTGGGCCTGTGGATGCTCCAGCGCCGCACCTCTGGGAGACACAGTTCTTTTCCCCAGCTGTGCTCCAGCTGGGGCTTGGCCTTGGAGGCACGCTCTCTCCTCATAGGTCAGCAGCTGCCTTATCGGCTCAGACTCTGATCTCCAGGTCCTGTGCTTCTGGACCCCAACTCCTGTTACTTGCAGAGCGCTGTCACTGTGGCTTCCCATCTGGTCAGCAGAG